GTTTAAGCGCCCATTTCACTCCATTTTACACTGCAAATGTAATGCACGCCCGTTTCAGCGTCGAAAGAAGCACAACAGCTGGTAAACCGCGATGATTTCGTCGACTTTGACGAAAACTAACAGTCCTTTCCTTCCCGTTGGAGATATTTCGACTTTTAAGCGCTCGTTTCACCCCATTTTATACTGCAAATGAAATGCACGCCCGTTTCTGCGTCGAAACAATCCCAACAGCTCGCAAATCGCGATGATTTCGTCGATTTCACGAAAACTAACAGTAGCTTCCTTCCCGTTGGAGATATTTCGACGTTTAAGCGCTCGTTTCACTCCGCTTTACACTGCAAATGTAATGCAAGCTCGTTTCTGCGTCGAAACAATCCCAACAGCTCGCAAATCACGATAATTTCGTCGATTTTGACGAAAACTAACAGTCTTTTCCCTTCCGGTGGAGATATTTCGACTTTTGAGCGCTCGTTTCACTCCTCTTTACACTGCAAATGTAGTCCACGCCCGTTTCAGCGTCGAAACAATAACAACAGCTCGCAAATCGCGATAATTTCGTCGCTTTTGACGAAAACTAACAGTCATTTCCTTCCCGTTGGAGATATTTCGACGTTTAAGCGCTCGTTTCACTCTATTTTACACTGCAAATGTAATGCACGCCCGTTTCAGCGTCGAAACAAGTCCAACAACTCGCAAATGTCGATGATTTCGTTGATTTTGACAAAAACTAACTAACTAAAAAGAAGACAAAATACGCACCAGAGTAGTCTGCATAGGAACCTCTGATGGAAATGTCTCCGCAAACATTGTTCAAACGACGATCGCCGAAGCCTAGGGAAACAACAAAAAGGGAAAAAGGATTAAAATCACGAAAACAACCATAATATGCAAATATCCAAACTTACACAAAGTATCCAAACTTACGCAAAATAACTCGAAGGAGGAGGTCCTTGTTGTGGGAGAGCAGCGGAATTGCGCGTGTTGCCTGAGCAAACATCGAAATGATAATGATGCTGCAGCCGCCAGCCCTTGCACGCGCCGAAGAAATACGGATAATTCCCACGGTAAAAACGTGGAAGTTTCTCGAGAAAAGGACTAGATCAGCATGGAATGCTTCAAGCCTCCTAGACGCTAGCTCAGCAGAAACACAGGACCGATGGGAACTAAGTCGAAATACGGAATTTATATTCTCTCACGTATGATTTCAGGAAACCCAAACTGCAACATTCCGATTCCCACGGAGGCGAACCCCCAGTGGACCACCACCCCGTGGGGGATGGCATTATAAATAAGCGTAGCAACATAGAGCAGCGCTCGTTATTACGTTCGTTATTGCGCTCATTATTACCCTCATTCTTACGTTTAGAAATTTTGTATAGCATTTTGCGTTTCGGCGGTCTTTAGTTGTTCAGGCAAGAAAAGAGAGTCGCGACTAAGTAAAAAAAATTATCTTTGAAGTCCTCACTTCATTGCTTAGACAAAAGAAAGCACATTGTAATTGCGGTATTAATCCGGTTAGTAATTTGTAAAGCGTGTATCAAAACAAATAAATAAAGGAAAAGTTTGATAATAAACTATATCCGAATTCGAGAAATAAACCCAGAAATAAAAACACCGACGACCATTGGAGCAGGCGAAGTAATGGCACCCGACAGCACTTATTCCTCAAGGTAAGAAAATTAATTTTGAAAATTTCCTTCTTCCCTGATAACTTCGTTGCACTCGAGAATCGAACTAGAACTATCTATCATCGATCTCGTTTTATTTCCGTGGACGGTTTGAAAATAAGATCATTGTTTTAAACTTTAAACAAAGGGGTTGTCGGGTTGTCCGCGGTGTCGGCTTGTGCGAACGGTGTTTTCAACTACTGAAACACCCACTGATCTTCGCATTCCTCCTCCCATTGTTGGCAAAATATTGCCCGTCTTTGGACAAGGCTTGCGAAATCACACAAGTCCCGCACAGAGAGGACCATTAAATACATCGTTGGCGTCAATCGAAAATTAAGGGCAAATCACCGCGGCAGAGCAATATCGGCATTGCTATTAAACGATATTCTTGCCATCACTGCACGCGATTGTAGAAAAGAAGAGAGAAATAGCAGAACAATTTCCTTTTGAAAATTTAACCAAAGGATCGTTCGCTGTGTTGGCTTGTGCAAACGGTGTTTTCGATTATCGAAAACACCCATCGATCCTGATCTTCGCATTCCTCCTCCCATCGTTGGCAAAATATTGCCCGTCTTTGGGCAAGGCTTGCGAAATCACACGAACCCCACACAGAGAGGATCGTTAGAATCATCCTCGATTATTAAACTCGAAAGGCAAGAAAATCGTGGCAATAGAAACCATCGTAGAAAATGAACTGAGCTTTGGTTCTAACGACAAACTACTGTAGCTAAATTAAAAGAGAAGAAGAAGGCAAACGTAAAAATAAATTTATATCAAACAACGAAAAATTTCACATTCTTATCCAATCCATCAACGCGAAAATTCTTGTTCTACCTCCTCTAACACTAATATATATGTCGGGTTTGCATTAGAATTAGGGTTAGGGGCGTGAAACGAATCTTCGTTTGGGTTATACGTTGTCGTTATGCAATAGAGAAGACATTGACTAGTGCAAATACGATTATTATAGAGCCGGACAAGTAACCGTGGTAGTTAGGTACTCGAGAAACTAATGACAATGATCCTAGGTTCAATAACGAATCCGCGGTCGACGGGATGATAGATGAAC